TGAGGTGATAAGTCTCAGCTGCCCATGGAGTCCGTGGCTAAGGAACAACGTGCTGGAATTGTTCATGGCTGACTGAGTGACTACAGGAACATGTCCATAACTTGTGTTCTGTGTTTTGAGAACCTAAACTTAGCCACAGTATCTCTGAACTTCAATAAACCCATGCACTTGATTTTGGTCCTTTCTTAAAACTGATTTGAAAGTACAGAATAACAACTTCCTGAGAACAACCACCACTGCTGCTTTTGATTCTGGAGCACTTGCTCAAACAATTTCCCTTTTGGCTCTTTCAGATTGCTCAGATTTTTAAAAACTGTATTACTACTTACTTTTAAACCTACTCCTTGCTGTCAGGATTCTGTGGGCTGTGCTGCCCTTTCACCCTTCAAGGTACTGGTGCTTGCTTTGAGTTGATTCTTGCAAAATTCACTCACTTTTTTTCCCTGCATATGTGGCAGAGAGATGTCTGCAAGAGCAGCAGTTCTGAGACCTGGGGGTTGGGGGGCACTGCTTTTCCAGTGGTCTTAAGTTGTGACATGTTTTCTGGGGAGACCTGGAGCTCCACGACTGCTTTGGGACAAGCTGAAAGTCTGTGGCAAATAGCAGCAGCCTGACAGCAAAGAGAAATATACCTGTTGATCCTCTAAGTGAACTACAAGAGTTTGGGGGCTGTTTTCCCTCCTGTCTTGTGAAGAGACAGCTGAATCCAGAATGCACACAGGGACCTCCACTTGTTGATAAGCAAGGTGCTAAGATAATACTCTTCCACCTTAAAGACGAGTCCTTTTGTCTAATGCTGTTTAATGGGATATTTCTGCACTCCTGGGATTTCCTTGCCAGTATCACAACCTGCTGTTGACAAGAGCTCCAGAGAAGCAGAGCTGCATGGTCACCAGTAAACACAACGTGGAGGAGTGTTCCTATCATTGGAGTTTCCCCCTCCAAACACAGTCAGGAAGGACAATGTCCAAGCAGCTTTCTTCCCAGCCAGATAACAGAACATCTGTGACACAGCTCTGGAGCCAAGAGCCTCTCAGATGTCCCTGTCAAGGAGAGCTTGAAATGCTGAAGCAGAGCAGTACACACACCTTTAAGTGCCACACACCTGAACGTGGAGGTGTCCTCCTCACCCTGCTCCACTGCACGTTGGTTTCAGAACTGTCTGTCTGTCCCGCAAGTGTTGGCTCTGTGTGGTCTCCCAGTGCCCCTGTGGTTGGGCTGGTAGAGTTTGCTGTCCATGGTTTGCAGTTTGGTGTGTCCCACAAAGACCCAAACCAGGCTGCTGCTGCTCTTAGGGGATGTGGCTCTGGAAGTAGAGGGTGGATCTGTCCATTGCTGTGCCAATGAACTTGTGTTAGTTCTCCATGGAGCTGAATTGTTTGCAGATAACTGGAGTCCTCTGAAAAACTTAACTTTTGTCTTTAAGAACGAAGTTGTGTAAAACCAGATCTTGGTTTTACACAGATGCATTTCCTGTTTTTTGTGCTCTCATTCCTGTCCCCATTCTCCCTTCCCCTTTCCCCTTCTGCATATGTTTTACTGGTCTGGTGTTGTCTCTAACTTTATCTGGTTTCTGTCTCAGCAGTAGAGTAAATTCTATTACCCTGATAGTACAATGGTGGATAGAGTATAAACTTCAGAGGATTCTCCAGGGACTAAGAGTGAACCAGTCACCAAAGGTGTCTTGGAAGTGTTGAGAATGACAGTGCTATAGCTGAAAAAGCAAAGGGGCCAGTTTCTGGTTTAGTGTAATTACCTTTTAACCTTCTTATTCCAGTGGTGATAGACCATGAATTGCCATAAAGTTTGTTTCTGTGTTAATTAAGACCTGCAGACCTCAGTGTCACAGTTAAGAAGGGAGAGAGAGAGACTTGTGTTGTATCAACTCCACTCATTTGTAAAACTAAACATCTAGCTCAAATAGCACCTAAGTAAATAAAAATATCTGCATGGTTCTACAGTCTTCAAAAAAAGTATCTATATGAGAAACCAAACCTGACCTTTCCAGAAGATGGGAAGTATGCACATGGCAAGAGGCTAATTTACCTTTCTATTTCCCAAATTCAGCATGTCCCAAAATACCATACAGCAAGGAGACAGGCCCTTCTTTCTACTTTGCCAGTGAGTTGGGTTTTTTGTACTAATTTTGATTGTACAGAAAAGCACTTTCTGAAAAAACAGGTGTTAAAGGAATGGGACGTGTTGAGGGAAGAAGTTTCCTTGCACCAAACCAGGATGTGGAGAACGCAGGAAGGTTCCTTGCAGTGGACAGGGGATGAAGCTGGTGCACAGATTGATGTGTCACAGGGAACTTGTGTTGTCAGTTTGTTAAAATTGTGTTTTGAGTGTTGAATAATCTCTGACTTAACTACCCAGTCTTTTCATCTGCAGCCAGAAGTGAGCTCTGGGTGTGGATATTAGGAAGGAATTCCTTCCTGTGAGGTGCTGAGGCACTGGAATGGATTTCCCAGAGCAGCTGTGGCTGCTCCATCCCTGGGAGTGTTCCAGGCCAAGTTGGATGGGGCTTGGAGCAGCCTGGGCTAGTGGAAGGTGTCCCTGCCCGTGGCTGGGGGGGAGCTGGGTGATCTTCAAGGTCCTTTCCAACCCAAACCATTCCATGATTCTATAGCCTCTACTTGAGTGTGGCTGAGCTGCCTCTCTCGCTTCCTTTCGTGGGCCCAAAGGGATTTTTCAAACCATCAGCTTCCCAAAAGGAGAAGTGTCTTGTGCCTCGTCTCTTAAAAAGCTGTTGCCCCTGGGGGGAAATAATTCGAGTTGCAACTGAGGTGAAGGAAGTTTTCTGTTGAGCTGCCACAGAAGGAGTGCTGGGAACAACTTTGTGAGGGTGATGAGATGAGGAGCTCCTTGCTGAGGCTGAGAAGCTTCAGGCACCTCCTCCTTGGCAGGTGTGGGTTACATTCCCTGGCTCAGGTGCTCCACTGGGGCCTTGGCTGGGGACCTGGCTCAGTGTAAGCAGGGGAGAGAAGGAGTGATGTTCTCTGTGCTCTCAGTGCACACCAGACTGGTCCAGCTAAGCACACTGCAGTGTGTGTACTGGGACAGGCAGATAGCAGAAACGCTGCCTTGACTGCTGGTGTTCACCAGGAGCTCTGAGGAAGCTGCTTGGGGGCTGTGGTTGCAGGATGAGCTGTAGCTGTCACCCAACATATGGGAAAAGAGGACTTGCAGTTTCAGGGTGTTTTGTCCTTGCTCCTGTCCTGCTGTGAGACTTGTTGCTGTGTCTGTCTGCAAGTCTGTGCAGTCCACACCAGGCTCTCTCCTGAGGGGTTTTTGCATTAGCTCATGCAAGAGGGATGTGAGAAAAACCACTTGTTCTCCAAAAATCTCTTCTGGAACAGACTTCCTGTGTTTCTTGTACTGAAGTGCTTCTGCTTGAAGGGTGCTGTGGGATGCTGACCTGTCCTGTGTCGATGCCTCTTGGTTTGGTGCACTGAAATCACCTGAATAAGCTCGTTCCTTTCATGGATGGTCGTTGAAGTCCTCTCAACCTGTGTAAAATGACTTCTTGAAATGTTTGTATTATGAAAGAAACATTTGCTATTTCTTTGCTTCCTACCATTCAGGTCTTTTAAATGTAGTTATCCTCACCATCTTACTGGCTCTGGCAATAGTTTTGTTCACTGCTCAGTTCTTGTAAATAGGCTCTTCAGTGCATCTCTGGAGGATGAGCAATGCTGATCACCATTGGCACCACTGAAATCCCAAATGATGTGGGTTTGCATATACCCTTGTAGCTGGGAGTTCTGCTGCTCTGACCTCTTCTGCTTTCAGCTCCTTCTGTGGCTCCTATGGCTGACACCTTCTTGTTGCCTCTCAGAGAAACAGGGCTGCACTTTTGTAGAGTTCAGTAACTCATCTGATATTTTTGCTCACTTCATGACTGAGTCACTTACCCTCACCGTGTGTCCCTGCAAGGTTAGAGCAGGGAAATGTTGCATGTTAGGAACAGACTTGGTTAAAAAGATGCAGAAGTGAAGCAGCTTAGCCCAGAGGGGAGCAGCTTAGGGCCTAAAGGGGGAGAAAAGCAGTGTATTTGTGCTGGAGTGAGCTGAGGTGACTTGCAGCAAGGAGCTGTTTTGTCTGTTCCTAGAACCTTATCAGCGCTTTCTTGGATCCTAGATGGCCATTTGGAAACTCTCCAAAACACTGACAATTGGGGGAAAATGCTGGATAATTGGTCATTACTTTTTGTATTGTTTTTTCACCTCCTGTCTTGTCTTATTTGCTGTTTTGATGACCAGGCAGAAATTCTTGAGTAAAGTCCCAAGTGAAAGTGCTTTAGTTCTGGCTGAGCAGGTGAATTTCTCATGACTTTTGCAAGACTCTCTTTCCCAGCCCTGCCAGTCTCACAGAGTTCATTGGCTTGGTACCAAGTATTACTTGCTAAGCATGGGAAACCATTTACCTTGCTAGAGCTGGAGTCTGAACTCTGGTTTTGAGCTAACAGAGGTCTGTGAATGCATTTCAGACCTGCTGCCACCCTTGGTTTGTTCGCAGTGTCTGCACAGGGCTTAGAGAAGAGTCCAAGTAACATTTGTTGAAAGGCACTTTTTTACTATTGCTATTAAAACATAATTTGCAGCAGCATCTGAAGCAGTTTTCAGCTCTGTAAGTTTGGTTATTAGAGCAATCTGTTAAAGGCAAAGTGGGGGAGAGGAGAAAAGTAGGGAAATAAATACTCTGCTGCTCCAAATGCAAAGCTCTGGATAAAATATTAGGTGGTTATGGAAGAGCTGCCACTATGACAAAACCTTGGTCCTCCCCCTGCTTCACCTCTGTTCTTCAGGGTGCTATTAACTGGTTTCTTAAGAGAGAAATTCCTCATTGTGAAGTTTTATTCTGCTCCAGAACAACCAAGTTTATTATTCTCTGGGCTATGAGGAACAGACAGATGAATTGCACGAGTGGTTCAAGGGAGCACCACGTTGTTTCAGGGCTCTTAGCAAGTAATGTGGCAGGATGTGGGAAGCCTTGAATATCTTACAGCTTGGAATGAAATTTCATATATGTTTTAAAGCCTCTTGAATGGAGCTGGAGTTAATTTGCAGTCCGACGTGCCAGCTCTGCGGCTGAGGCTGGGGAAGGTTGCTGGTAACCTGCCCTTTGGCAGGCAAGCAATCCCTCCTTGCATTTACTTCTGTTGCTTTGGCAGAGATAATAACTTTCTGGCCTTTCTCAGAGGGTGTAGAATAATGAGGCTGAGAAATTTTCCTCCTGTAGGAAGCCATAAACTTCATGCTGTAAAAATGATCAGTGTTGCCACTGATGTTTCATGTTGTTGTAAGGAGAGATGCCTGAAAGGTGAGGAGGAGTGTGGTAGAGATACTGCTGCAAGATGTATTTAGTAGTGATGTAAAAAAATCAAAATACTTGGATTTGAAGTGCTGTAGCTTTAGATTCTGCCAGTTTTGCCAGTGTGCTGAGAAAGTATCGCCGTGTTTCTGAAACCCCTTTCAGTCAGAGATGCTCAGAGTGTACAGCTGTGTTTCTCCACATGGATAAGTATGTTAGGATCAACTCCAGACTGCAAGAATTTAGTTCATCTGCATTAATAGCCTGAAACTGCACATCACTGTTAGGCCATTTGCTCGGTGAAGATTTCATAGAGCTTTCAAGGGATTAAGTTCAGTGTGACAGGCAGTGATTTTCTGAAGGAGGAACCTTCAGAATGGACTGTACGGGGGAGAAAAACCTCAATTAGGCAAAAAGGTATTCTGTGTATTCTGGTGAGCTTGGATTTGTTGGAACTAGGATTTTGAAGGTTTATAGCCAGCCAGACTGGGGAGAAGAGGTGTTTGCACAGGGCAGAGTGTGTCAGGGCTGGAGGAGAGCACAAGTGTTGCTGTCAGCTGGAGCCTTGTGCTAACAGGGTTATGCTCTCGGGTGCAGCTGCACTGTCCATCTCTCCACTCCCCTTGTCTTTGGTCCTTCACAGGCACTCAGGGAGCTCTGGGTGTGAGCATGGAGCCCAGCAGAGTGGAAGTGCTGCAGGAGGGAGGTGTCCCCTCGCTGCCCGGGGTACCTGGGCAGGTGCTTGCACCTAACAGCTGCACTTGGAGCCTCTCCTGTGCCTCACCTTTCTGGTTTGTTCACTAGGGCCAGAAAACACCCCTGGGAAGCACATCCCTTCCCGAGGGGTGCTGCAGGCAGGTGCTTCAGTGGCCCTGGAGTCCTCATGTAACACAAAACCCATTGTATAACAGCTGTAACCCCATAGATAATCATCAGTAATTAACTTCAGAGCAACCAAAAGGCACCAGAACAAATCAGGAACCGTTGTAGGAAATATTGAGGAGCAGGTTGAGGGTTTTCTTGGACTGGTTTGTCTTTTAGCAGTCTTGTCAGCAAAACCAGCCTCAGGCTTGGCAGGCTGTGGCTTTGGAGGGAGCACTGTGTGTTGTCATGTGCACAAGTGGAGCTGCAAACATGTTGGATCTAAAAGCACTAGAGGGGAATAGGTAAAACATCTTCATTTCCTTCAGGTCCTGCTCTCCCGTCGCATGCTCTGTGTTCACAGGAAGATTTGCTGTCTTTAAGGCTCTCCATGCTGTTCTAGAGTCCCTCAGAAGTTAAAGAAATGGTGCTTAGTGTGGCCCATGTTGCAGCAGAACAGCACAGGACTCGTGGAGGAGGCACTTGTTGATGTTAGTTTGTTGTTGGAGACTGGTATGGCTGTAGCAACAGATGTGGCTTCACTGGTGTGAAAGTTTTGTGTTGTTCAGTTTCTTCCTTTTTGGGAATTTCGTACCTTGTTTGCTACTGTTTGAAGGGCTGAAGAATTCCGTGGCAGTGCTGAGAAGCTCAGGGGATGGTGGTGATCCAGAACAGACTCTGGGATTGGCCTTGAGGGAAAATCTGTTATTTTAGGAGGAGAAACGGACTTCAGCAAAAATCTGGTGCTCAAGCAGCCTCAGTTTTCTCAGCTGTGATGTATTTGCTGTGTGTCCCTGTAGCTCTTTGTACTTCATTCTGACTGTACTGTGAGCAATTCCAGAAGAGTAGCATGGTGAGGTTAGCCAGGTATAAGGCCAAAGAATTTTTTTGGATGGTGGAAATAAAAATGGCTCATGACACCTTTGAAAAGTATATTCCAGGAAAACCTAAATTGCATGAAAATTGCCAATTTGATCTTTGAAACTGGTCTGTTTGACAGAGCCAGAGATGAAATCCTGCTTTTTTCTGTGTAGTATCTGTTACATTGTCAAACTAGGGAGGATGAACTGTCTAATTATGGTTGTTTGTAGCCTTTCCTGCCAAACCAAACTACACAAAAGCAAGGTAAGATCCTCAGCTATTTGCAAGATAAATATTTTCTTAGAAGGGGGAGGGCAGTATGTTTACAGTATGTTTTGAGTTGTAGTGATATCTTCAAGTGCAGATGGTGACTTGATGAGGTGCCTGTCCTGGATCTGCTGTTAAAGAGTTTTTTCTTTCGTCCTAGTTTCCACTGGCTCACTTGCTCAGCAGTATGCCCACCCTAATGCTACCCTGCATCCGCATCCTCCTCATCCTCAGCCTTCTGCCACACCAACTGGCCAGCAGCAGAGCCAACATGCTGGAAGCCACCCTGCTCCCAGCCCCGTGCAGGTAACGCAGCCAAGGGTCTCAGTGGCCTTCAGTTGGGTTTGATTGGGTTGGAATTATTGCTCTGCTGATGCTTGAGGCTGATACAGTGATTTTTGGCGGGGAATAACGTAGCATGGAGCAGTCAAAGTCCAGCCCTGCATTTCACCCTCCTCACAGGGGGTGAGGAACAGCTTGTTTCCAGGTTAGGATTAAGGAAGGAGCTTAATTGGGTCAGAGCTTTGATATGAGTGAATTTACAACTGGAAAGAACAGATAAATGCTGAGGAGTGTTTGATTATAGTTTGTCCAAGCTGTAAACAAAATGGTCCTTGTGGTAGTGCTGCATTCCTTAGTTCCCTGCTGGGAATACCTCCAGGCTGCTGAGGGCAGCTGTGAGGCACAAGGACCTGGATGGTTCTGTGGTGCTGTAAGCAGCTCCATGGCTGCAGCTTCTCCTTGTTCCACCTGGCAGTAAAGCCTCTGTTTGCCTGTCCTGCTCTCGTGACTGCCTGGGGCAAGGGGAAGATGAGCCTGGTGGGATTGAAATGAATCACAGAATCATCAAGGTTGGAGGAGACCTCTGAGATCATCAGGTCCAGCCATTAACCTGTCACTGCTGGAACCCCTAAACCCTAAACCATCTCCTCCAGCACCAGATCCAGATGCCTCTTAAACACTTCCAGGGTTGGTGACTCCAGCACCTCCCTGGGCAATACTCCAATGCCTCTTCCAGTGCCTGTTCCAATGCCTGACCACCCTAGCAGTGAAAGAATTGTTTCTGACATCTAATCTGAATCTCCCCTGCCCCAGCTGGTGACCATTCCCTCTGGTCCTCTCAGGAGGGACCATCCCTCACACCACAGCTGAGTTTCCTCACGACCATAGCTGTGGTGACCCTTCGATTTGCCTCTTGGATTTCGTTTCTCACATTAGCAAGAGC